AAGGGATGCATCATTCTTTATAGAGCTGGGAGGATTTTGTGAATTCTCCATCATACAATGATTTATGCTATATTCAGAGAAGTTAGTTCAGTGGGGAGAGAGAAACTGATCCAGAACTAAACTTTCCTGAGATTTGTACAAGATTGTGTTAGTTTTTTATTACCGAATAGCTGCTCTGCATTTTCTGGTTTCATATAGAAGTAAAGTGACAGATCTAAGACATAGTGAGAGGAGCTGTTCACAAAGTATTTCTGGTTTGACAGGTGACAGCTTATTCTCATAAAAAATTCTAATCTGGTTTCCAAATCAGAGGAGACTAGATGCATTCAGGTAACTATCTTCACCTTAAGGCATTTATTCATGCCCTAGTTGTCTGAATACTGCTCAGTTCTTTTCCCAAGTCACCCCATTTCTGTTTTTAAAAACAGTTTCTAAAACAGTTTCTAAAAATGCCCACAAGAAGTGACTCAACTAGATAGTTATTTTTGTTAAAAAAAATTCTACCTTGTAATATTATTGATGAAACCCCTTTTCATCTCTCACCAAAGGCTTTTGCTTTGTTTGCTTGTCATTGTGCTATCTTGTGAACAGGGACCATGTATCAGTGGTGTAGTTAGGAGTGAAAATGTGTCTGGCCTCCACTTTCGGGTGAATAGGCAATGAGAGACTGTGCTAGCTCAGCTTTTCCCCTGATGTCACATCCTCTTCCTAGCCCTGGTGCCCCCAGACACAGGGCTTCACTTGCTGAGCTGGGCAAGCATGTGGGCAGCTCAGAAAATGTCAAGGCAGAGCTGCCTGAGTGTTGGTTTTTGAGAGCTCTGCCCTGGATGCTGAGATGCTCTGAGCTGTTGTGGCAGACTACACCCTTGCTCAGACTTGGGTGGCCTGAATGCTGAATGCACACCTGTGCCTATGTCCCTGCTATGTGTAATTTCTGTGTACTGTCAAAAGTAAATAATGATACCTGAACTAACCCCCTAACCATTTTAAGTTTGCTCATCATCACTAATTTCTAGCAGATTTTCAGATGTTCATCTTCTAGGCATGACACTGGCACCTGGTGTCTCTACTAAAGCATGACAGGAACTGTGGAGAGATTGGAATTGTTCACTTGCAAACTAGCGATGCTGTAAAGACTTGCACTGCTTTAGAAGTGCATACTCATTCTTGGCCTTACAGAGGAAGGGCCTTTTGGTGTGGCTTTGAGTGCCTTGAGTCATTGCTGGTAACTTATACAAGTACATGTACAACATGAAATTAAAGCAATTCCTGGCAAGCACTCTGCTTGATGTCATGATCTAGGTGGGAAGGAATTCTGAAAAGCAATAAGTGCATTTGTTTGGATTTTTAAATGGGCAGAAAGGCTGGATTATGAAGCCATCAACTTAATTGACCTTAAATTTTGGTACTTCTCTGTCTATTCCTCATGTTGCGTAAAAAAATAGGGTTGGCAGGTGTCCAGTTTTCAGCCAGAATGGCCAGATGAAAAGGGACCCCAGCAGCTCTGGTCATCACCAGTGATCAGAGCACAGCAGAATGGACAGCCACCAGTCCTGGCCCATAGGGACTTGGCCAGGTTGTTCAGCTGCAGTGGCCAAGGATGGCCTGTAGGCTGGGAGTTTGAGACCCATTCTCTATAAAACAAAGAAACAAAAGGATCTGGTGTAACTAAAATGAATTTGCCAATGGCCAAGAGAGCAGTCTTGGGTACATGCTATTTTAGTTTTAAAAGAGCTCCAAAGGTTGGATATGAAAGATTCGAATGAAAGTTGAGCTGGCTATTGATTACAGTATATATGCATGGTACCAAATAAACCAGAACACTACTCAAAGTAATAGAGTACTGTCCTATGAATATAAATGACATGAGAAAGATTGAGTCTTTATTAATATAATAGGATTGTATAGTGTTTAACTGGTGCCTGCTACAGTATTCTATCACACCACTGGCAAGATTAATTGCTAACTTATATCCTGAGAAGAGGTGAAAGGATGCTGCCTAAGGTTTCAGTTCCACTTATAAATATTCTTTTTTAGTAAAGTAGCAATTATTTATTATTGATTTGTTCATATAGTGCCCAGGGTGTATTAAGTGTCCTGTAGACAAAAGATTGAATTCAGCTGTGATTCTAGGGTTAATGTGTGTTTAGGATTTCTTCTGGCTCTGTTCAGTATGTATCTCACACCAGTACAGATTTTCTTAAGGCTGCTTAACCACCATCCACTGAAGTCACTGGAAAGACTTCCATTAACTTCAGTAGAAAATGGATTGGAACCCCCTCATCCATACTCTGCTCTCAGTCACAAACAGTGGGTGGTTAGGACTAGAGGGGGTTCAGCATCCCCAACTCTACCCTGCTAGGTGGAGCCACTTCCCTGCTGGCATGATGCAGGGGGAACCAGAACACATGTGAGTGGCATTGCAACCTGGCACATCAGCTCCTGTTCACAATCCCAAACTCCTGTGGCTGAGCCTGAACGCATGTGGGGAGCAGAGCAGTGACTGGGAGAAACAGGACCCAATGCACCAGATTGCAGTGCCACTCAAATGTGGCCTGGTTGCCTCCTTTTGGTCAGTAGTGAGGGGGCTTTGCCATAAAGACACCCATCTCTGGTTACTACCTTCTTATTAACAGTGGTGCACCCTGACTGGCCCCTGGCCAATATGGGGTAGGAAGGCTGACCACTATCTGCTTGACTCTGAGCTAGAAGCCAGTGGGAAAGCAGTAAGCAGAGCAGGGTGGCATGGGGTGGAGGTCTTTTCTCCCTGTGAAGGAGCGGTGGCTGGGCCAAATAGTGGTATTGAGAGCTGGTGCCTGGACTCCTGCTTTCAGTCTTTGTTCCATGTTGACATAGTCTCCAGCTCTCCACACGTCCAACAATGGGAGTGTGCCCTGCCTCCACCCATGGCTAGGGAATCCTGGCCAGAACCCGATTGTTTGGAACGGAGAACCAGTTAGTTAATGGGGAGAAAGAAACTGGAGCTGGGTGATGTGGTTGAAGAGTCTGAGCCTGTATGATGGGAAACAGAACCACATGGAGTGTATTAGGGATATTAACCAATGCTTACCGGATAGTCGACTAGTTGCTTCCCCTCTGCCCTTGCTGCCTCTATCAGATGCATCGACTATTCGATTACTCAGTTACACAATACTTATCATCCTTAGAGTCTATGAAGCAGCAGCAACTTTACTAAAAGATTGCACCCTTCAGCAACCCTGCTGAATCTTAATTTTTTTTGAGGTGCTAGGCCTGTGATCCCCCTCAGTTTAAGGATTGTGCCTGGACCTTAGGCCCCTTGCACTAATTCTAGCACACACCCCCACCCCAGCAAACAGAAATTTTAATGCATTTTTCAGGGCACCAAATTCAAGTTGAATTTGACTAATGGTTTTGACAAAAACAAACAAACAACCCCCCCCATAACAAAAAACAAAACAACAAAAAAACACCCCAAAAACATAACTCATTGAACAAACATTTTGGATTTTCAAAACGTTTCCTTTCAACAGTTTAGAAATTTAGTTTTGAAACATTTTTATATTAAATATGCATGCAAATTAATATTTTGTTTAAAAACCTGTCAATATGAACTGAAACATCCAATGTTTTGTTCAACCCCACTGACATTTTTTCAGTTTTTATTTTGGTAAGAAACTGGAAAAAAAATCAGTTTTGATTTGAAACTAACCATTTTTTTTTTTTTTTAGGATTTAGTGAAACTGAAAAATCAATCATTTGCTCTGCTCTAATTTACATCTACTTATAAATGTATAATACACACTACCAAGTGTGTTACAGCTAAATTTGTCCTGGAGTCTTTGCCATTAAGATTATACTCTTGAGTAGCAAACTATATAGTCCATCCATAAGTTCCTTTAGGTTATGTATTCATATTTGTGTACCTAAACTACGCAACAAGCTTTTTGGATGTGAGGCCTATCAGAGCTACTATAGCTGAGAAACTGAGCTGATTTAAATATTTAGTGGGCTAGGGTTGGCTGGAAAACATGCTAACAAATCTAAAGGGCTGATGCACAAAAAAGTTACTTGTGTGAGTAAAGTTATTCTTTGCACATACTTTATAAAATCTGTTCCAAAATTACCAATTTCATGTCTTCATAGCTGGAAAGAATTATGTAAAGTGCTGGATATTTCTGCTAACAATACTTCTTGTGCAGTATTGCCAACTCTACTCCAAATAAAATCTTCAGCCTACATTTATTTCATTCCACCCTTGGGATGACAGCTCAGTGTGCAGTGATCCAGATTAATGTTCTACCACCAGATAAAGTAGGAAGAAGGCAAATCTGTATATCTCAGAGAAACATTTCTGCATATTCCAGAACATTCTGTATAGAGTTACAGTTTGGCAGATTGCACAAAAACCACTTTGCCATTAGGTTTTGTACAGTTCACAAATTTAAGATTGCCTGTTGGCTAAGGCATTCTCAGACTCGGGAAACCCAACAATGTCACTTCAAGGGACTCTGAGTTAGTGTTCAGACTGTTACAAGACTCAATATAGGTGGTGCTAAAATGTGGTAGGGCATATCTATACTGGGGAGTTATTTCAAAATAACTCCCCCCTCCCTTATTTTGAAATAACAAGGTGAGCATCCATGCTACCAAGCCTGTTGTTTTGAAATAATGGGCTTGTTATTTCAAAATAATAACTCCTGCTTGTGAAGGGGAATATGTTTATTTCAAAATAGTTATTTCAGGAGTTGTTATTTCGAAACAACTTATTTTGAAATAACCTGGTAGTGTAGACATAGCTGTCGTGAACTTTTGTGACACAAATCTGTGATGAACCTCATATTGAGGTCACACTTTGCAAGGATTCTGCATTTGTTCACCAACCCAAGGCTTTGGGTGTTTGTCCTAAGAATCTGCTAGAAATAATTGAGTTAATGTTTGTACAGAGTTATGAAAAAATACGAAGTACTGGATAAAGTACTATATAAACACTAACTTTTATTTTTTTTTTCTTTTTCTAGACTGAAGTAATCTTTTGAATGCTTTTGCTGTTTTCTGGCTGGACCTTGATCTTCTATCTAAGGTATTTATATGGCCCCCACTACTATAGCATCTGAGTGTCTCATGCATAAAGATGAGGATATATTATTATCCCAATGTAAAAAAAAAAAAAGAAAAGAAAAAAAAAGGGTTGAGGCAGAGAGAGACTGTAGCTGGCCCACGCAGGGAGTCAGGGGTCATGTGGGTGCTTGGACTTGAGTCTCTTAAGGCCTAAGCTAACGTCATAAGCCCTGGACCATCCTTCTTCTCTTACAAATAAGTTCCAACGGTGCATGAGTGAGTTCATTGCTCATAATTTTATGGTATATTCTTTTGCAAAATGGAACTTTTGCAAAATGGAATTTCTTTTTGAAGATGACGTGAAGCAGTTCTGTGCATCTATTTACATGAATCTGAATTCAGCTGTGAACAGGGAGCTGCCCTTGTATGAAAAGTTTGAGGAAGATTCTGCAAAGATAATTATTTTTAATATATAGCTGTTTTCTTTGGTCAGCATTCAGCTTCCCTAAAATGGTATCAGAAGAATGTCTGTTGATTATTCCTTCTGCTAAACTGTGTAAACATAATGCTTTGAGGGCAGCTTGTTTGTCCAGATATTATTGGGCTGTATATGTTTTTACTATGAAGATTCTTGGATCTTTACTAGTAACCTATGCTTTCCTATCTGCATGCTGTCGCTCCCCTTTATTTCCGACTGAGAAATTACATCAGATCATTATGCATATTTTTATCAACTCCATGTTAGTTTGGATTAAAAAGTGCTTTTGGATGCTTTTGAGTATAAAAACTACCTACATGAAAGAAATTGAAAAAGGCTTCTTTAGTTTGAAATCACAAAATGTTTATTTTGAGATTGAATGATAGATTTTAGAAAGCTGTCTTTGGTTTGTCCTGAAACTCCCCCAAAAAGAAACCAGAGGCATTTGGGGCTACCTTTCCATGTCTTCTGAGTGGAAATATCTTCTGAATACCTCTTTTGTGTACCTGCAAAGACAGGACGCTGCTAACTAGAATCTTTATCATACTACAACTGAAGTTGTCAAAGGTTGAATAGGTTTTCATTGCCTGCATTTCTGCTCTGAAACAGACTGAGAGAAATGAGTGTTAAATAAACTCAATGACAGCCTTGCTAACATCAGCATTCCAGGCTTCTACATGCTCATGCCTGCACCATAACTTCAGATTATGACACCTCAGGCTAAGGCTTCTAAATTAACACACATCCAGCTGTCACCATTTTTTATTTTCTTTTTCATGTTAACAGTTGAAAAGAAGGCCCAAGAAAAGTGTGGGCTGAAGTAATTTTTATTAGACTGTTTATTCTTTCTGTAACAAGGATGTGCCTTATTGATGTGGAGATAAGACATTAATGCAACAATAAAATTTTAAACAAATCAAACGTGTGTTCAGTTGCTTTTGTTTTGTGCCCCTGGGTATGCAGTGGCATGCAGACACTTAGGGGGAAGTCCTAGTGAATTGCTGAGTACCTCTGTTCTGCTAAGCACTGAGCACTCTTCAGCTCATTGAGGTCACAGGACAAGGAGTTGGCTGGGTGCTGACTGCTCTGAATTTAAAAAAGAAAACAGATGTTTGTTTTTTTATTTAAACAGCATTTTATTTCACGTGCTTTTACAAATATGCTGATGTGGTGTTTTACAGATCCAGGAAATCCCAATATTTGATACTGGAGGCTTTTGGAGGTCTGAAGCTCAGTTATCTTAGTTGATAAAAGCAACAAGCATCCTAACTCCCAACTTTAAATGGAAGGGCAAGTCTACACTAGGAAATTATTTCAAAATTACTTATGTCAATATAATAACTCTCCAAGGGTATCTCTACACTACAGCGCTAATTCGAACTAACTTAGTTCAAATTAATTAATTCCAACTAAGCTAATTCGAACTAACGGATCCAGACTAAAAAACTAGTTTGAATTAGCGTTTTGCTAATTCGAACTAGCATGTCCACATGAAGTGGACCCTGAACCGGGGTTAAGGATGGCCGGAAGCAGTGCCGGCAGGGCATCAGATGAGGACTTAGAGCGTGGAGCTGCTGCCTCAGGCTAGCTGAGGGCTGTGCTTAAAGGGACCCGACCCCCACCCCGGACAGACAGTTCTCAGGGGTGCCCCGCTTGCGAAGCAGTCCTGGCTTGGAGTGCCCTGAGTGCCCACACTGGGCACATCACAGCACTCGGCCATCAGCCCGGCTGCACTTGCCGCAGGCTGCCATCTGGGGAGAGGGGCAATTGGGGGGCTGCAGGAGAGCTTCCATCCCCAGAAGCCCGCAGAGCCAGCCCAGTCTTCCCCATCGGGGGCTCGTACCCCATTCCTCCCTCACCTCCTTCCACTTACCCTTCCCTAGCCCCCCTTCCTGATGTACAAAATAAAGAAAACGTGGTCAAAAATAGAATCTCTCTTTAGTTAACAAAACTTGGGGAGACTGGGAAAAGGAGGTGGGAGAGGGGAAGAGAGAGGGTGGGAGAGGGGAGGGCAACTAAAATGATCAGAGGTTTGGAACAGGTTCCATATGAAGAGAGGCTAAAGAGACTGGGACTTTTCAGTTTAGAAAAGAGGAGACTGAGGGAGGATAGGATAGAGGTCTATAAAAGCACGAGTGGGGTGGAGAGGGTGCATAAAGAAAAGTTCTTCATTAGTTCCCATAATAGAAGGACTAGAGGACACCAAAGGAAAGGAATGGGTAGCAGGCTTCAAAC